TGGTAAGGCATTAAGTTCATTGTCATACAGCAGTTCACGTCATGCAATATACATCAGACTATTTAGATTTTTTATGTTTTTGACTTAATAGCAAAATACATTTTATGTTTTCGTTTTGGTTTCTATTAGCCATGAACAGATTTAGAAGGTTGCTATATTCTTGTGACTTGATTGATTCTGAATTATTATCTTTTATTAATATTTCACTCGGTTTCTTTTCTTTTCACATTAACCTTTAAGCCATTTATATTAAGTACCAAAATTGATATTTTGGTAACGGGTTGGCCATTCTTTTGTTTGCAGAAGATCAGCCAAGATTTGATTTTCCCTATTTTCAAATTTTTGAATGTCATCATATTGTCGATTTTATTTTTTTTGCATTTTGAATTATTAATCACTGAATTAGATGTTTAAATATACATTATAAGACTATTTTTTAATAACAATGTATTTAAGAAAGGTTATAATAGATTATACAATAAATTTGTATTTTATGAAAATATTTTTATGAACTACACTAAATAATTTATTATTTTTAGACAATTCCCATTCAACGAATGGGTACAAAACTAGTTACTGATTTATAGCCGAGCCTTCATTTTTAAAAAACCACTTAATGAGGGACGCACTAAATGAGGGACAATTGACCTATTTATACTCAAGATTTAATAAAAAGATCAAGGTACCAATTTAAATTGAAAATACATTAAAAAATGTTTACATGTACTAAATCCACCTGCTTATGCCAAAAAATGTAAATAATCTTAAAACACTTAAAATTTACAAATTCAATGCATTTAAGTGAAGCATAATTAACAAATAAAGAAAGGAAACAAATATAATTGTGAAATCAAAAATCTCTTAGACGCTAAATTACAAAAATTAGAAAGTTTTTTAGGTTAAAACATAATTTTTGAAAAGATTAGAGGTCAAAATTAAATAAACATAAAGTTTAGGTGCCAAAATGCAATTCAAATAAGGACATAAATGAAAGAATTCTAATAATTTTGGATCATAGAAAAATTATGCCAAAGTTTAGGGGTCAAATTGTAGAATCAATTTTCTAATTCTAGGAAGATACAAAGAAACAATTTTTGGGCTATTCTTAGTGTTTCGGCCACACTATTTCTACCGCAAAGAAAAAAATATGCAAACCACTTTATTAAAAGAACAAGCAAACTCAATTGAAACATATATAAACTTAAATATAATAAAAACATTGGGTATGACTCTAAAAAATAAACACAAGCCTACTTCTCTTCTTTTCTTTTCCTTTTTTTCCTTTTTCTCTGTTTTTTTCCTCCTTCTTCTTCCCTACCTCTAGCCACATCTACAACTCCTTGCCAATGACCATGGCAACGCCGGTGGTGGTGTCGTTGCCGAACTTTTGCTAGCCGTTGGTCACCAAAATGCACCTAAATATCATTTTAGACTCTATTTTTCACTTAAAATCCATTTCTGGCTTTAGTTTTTTTTACAAAGAATGAACAAAAATTGCCCAAATTGCTGATTTACAGTTGGGCCTTCATTTTTCAAAAGCCACTAAATGAGGGACAATTGACCTATTAATACTTAAGATTCAATAAAAAGATCAAGGTGTAAGGATCGAAGATAACCTAAGAGGGGGGTGAATTAGGTTATTTAAAAACTAATCAAGTTATGAAACACTTGTTAACTTGATATGAAATTTACCCTCTTTTCTAGATGACCACACAATGAACAATTGATTAAGAAAGCAAGATTGCTTAGGAGTAGAAGAGATAATCAATTTATGTTTGCAAGACAGTAAGTAAAAAAGAAAGAATTGCAAACCAAGTATTTCCAAGCTCCTCTTGAGCTTGAGTATTACTTTATAGAACAAGCCTCTTCAAGTTGGTTAAATACAACCAATTTATATGTACAAAGGAAGGATCACTTCCTCCTTACCCCAATCTACACTTGATTAAGTTGGAAAGTTTTACTATTACTCAGATAACCCTCACAAAACTATACTATTGAAGTATTTTTCACACACAAGAAGAGCTTACACGAAATTCACGCAAACAAGAGTACAAATCTTCTTTGAAGAGTATTTTCTCACTAAAATCACTTTAGATCTTTTGTAGTCTTAATGTGCAAAAGTTGGAGGAAAGTGGTTGACCATGCTCTATTTATATGAGACCAAAAAGTTCCTCTATTAATGCTTCTAACGGATGGAAGGCAGTTGAAGAGTCAACTAGCCGTTAGTAGTGTCGGACGTCTGGTAGACCTGTTTCTTGCGTCCGACAGTAGGCAGTGAGCTCAAGAAATTTACTTCAATCCTTTCGGACATCCGATACTTTTAATGTTTGCGTCCGACAGTGGATAGTGAAGTTGAGAATTATTCTTCAATCCTTTCGGACGTCTAGTGCCTCCAATGCTTTGCGTCCGAAGTGTTGCAATGTTTATCGGACGTCCGGTGCTCTAATGTTGTGCGTCCGATCGAAGTCAGTGATCTTAGAAGGATGACTTAATTTCTTCGGACATCCAGTGGTGGGGTTCTTTATGCGTCCGAAGTTGCGTAATGATTATCGGACGTCCGATCCAGTCTTCACCAGCGTCCGACAGCTTTCATCACTTTTTGCCTCTTTTACTTGAACTTAATCTTTGAACCTGATTTGCTTCATTTTTGAACAGATCTTTGAGGAGATATTAGTAACATCCATTTATTTTGTAAACATCAAAAGTTAGGGACTAAAATTAACAATCTCCCCCTTTTTGATGATGACAAAACAATGGATGGAGGGAAAAAAATAGTTGAATCAAAACTCCCCCTTACATAATACATCCAAAAAGTTTGTAAGTACCCACTCCCCCTCAAGATAACTCCCCCTTACACATTTACTAGATTACACTTCCTGAAAATCCAGATTAACAGATTAATATCTATTTGATGAGAACATGAAGATTTGGATTCCTTTCAAATTCAAGGAAATTCAATTGATGGTTGATGGTGCAATCGGGTTCAAGAATCATTGAAGATTTGTCATGCTTATTTCTTGTTATTTATTTAAGTAAGTTTCCAGCAATACTTGTTAGTTAGTCTTGAGTTATTAAGGGAAATAAAGGCTAAGGTCATGTTGACCATAATTAAACCAATTGAGTCAGTTAGTTTCCTATTCTAATTGAATTAGAGTTTTAGAAAAATAGTTAATTGCTTCCAAATTTATTTAGGAAGTTGTGTCAAGTTAAATAAGAAAGCTTGTATTGTTTCCAATTTAGATTAGGGTTTTGAGTCTTGTAAGGCTATAAATAGCCAACTTTATTTAACTATTTAGACATATGATATTGAAGATGAATTAATGAAAAGAGAGTTGTCTCCTTTTATGGAGTTCCTTGATGGAACTTGAGTTTCTTCTTGAACAGTATCAAGTATTTAGCTTGGATACTTGTGGTGTTCAAGGCAAGATAATCACATCATCTTGTTCTTTCAAGCCAATAACCAATCCACTAGGTTTTTAGAGACAGGTTCTCTTTAGGTCGAGCAAGGTAGTTATTGTTCCATAACCTGGTTAAGATAGATCCTTCCGCTGCCTGATCGACTTGGTTCTTCAAGACAGGTTCTTGCTGGATCGAGTTCGTATTATTATGTGTGGAGTGGTAAGTTGACTTTTTGCTATATGTATACTAAGCTTTTGGATTGTTGGTGTAGTGATTATGTTTAATTAGGGTTACACTCCCTTGCTTGGAAGATATCTCATCCGTTTCATTTGAGTTATTAGTACTTTGATCGACTGAGCCCCGGCGAGAGTTGGGTAGGCAGTCCGCTGATACCCTAGGGTCCGCCCTAGGGAGAGGTGGGGCTGTCACATGCTTGGATTCAAGTTCTCATTAACGTTTTGTTATTTTAATGCATGAAAGCACGTCTTGGCCACAGAGATTGTAAAGTGCCTATTTACTTATTTATTTGTGTGCAAAATTCATGAATTGCATTTTCTGCTCCTGTTGTGTATTGCGTTTTCATCTTGAATCTTCGTATGGAGATGAGAGCAGATATTTATTTTAAGAAGTTCTTGAGTTTGAATTCCTGGTTCTTATGTTTAATAATAATAAAAATCAACCGTAGCTTGAAGTGAAACTTGATGTAAAGATGCATCATGTTTTACTACAATTTTCGGGTGTTGTAATTTTGTGCATTTAGCTTGATGAATGCCCATGCACTCTCAATGTTGAAGCCCTAGCCGCCAACTGGGAAGCTTTCATTCTTACCCCCGCTCATGAAAAGGGGTGAAGATACAAATTTCAGACGAGAACTTGATGATGATTTTCTCTCCTCCTAATGAAATTTCGTGAGAATGGCCGCCCCCGGAACCGGAAAGCCGTAGCGTTCTCAATATTGGTTTGGTAGATTTCTGTTATTCCACTTCCACTTCAAGCGTGCTTTTTCAGTAAATGATTGTTGTGCGGTACATTGATTTTTAAATTACTACGACTACAAGTAAAAGCTTGCGCAAACCAAAAAAGAAAAAGAAAAGATTGAATATGTGGCTAAATGTCAATGGGTAAAACCGAAGGTAGAATTGGGAGGTGGAACACAGGATCCTAATCTTTTAGTTTTTTTAAGTATATTATTTGGTTGGCAATTTAGCCACTAATTTAGCTAAAACCCTCAATAAGTCTCGCCCAGCACAACAAAACGTCATTAGGCAACTACTGGTGTTTAAGGTCCAAAAAAGCAGCAACTCCTCCTCCTTTTGAAAGCTGAAATTGAGAATCCCTATAAGTCACCAAACACAACATCATCTCGCTAGTCGACACTCAATGGCTTCAGATTTCTTGTTTGAACCCCCGAGCAATGAGGAAATGGAGTACGAGCACAACGACAGTAAGGACGACTCAGGCGAAGAAGACGGAGAAGCGGAAAACGACGCCTTTAACGAGGAGGAAGACGAAATATCAATTTCTCCAGCTAAAAAGAATAAAAAAATCCAAGCACTCTCCCTGGGATTTCTCTTCCTACTCCCAATCAGTTGCCGACGGGCATGCCCGCTGCTGCACCACTTGAGGACCACTCAATTGAGTTTCGATTGGCCGTGCCTGAAGGAGAAGGGTATATTGGGAATCCAGACGATTACGTAGATGCAGCGGGTTATGAAGCTTTGCAGCAAAACTTGGCCGAAACTGATAGCGATGGGCGGCGAGGAGCATCTCCCACATCAAAAGCTTCTGTAGAAGCATTAGAAACCACAGAGATTAAGTCAGAACTGGAGGCATTGGCTTGTGCTGTATGTAAAGATATAGTTGGTGTTGGAGAAATGGTAAAGAAATTGCCTTGTGGACATGGATATCATGAGGATTGTATCATACCGTGGTTGGGGTCGAGAAATTCGTGCCTTGTATGTAGGTATGAGTTGCCGACAGATGATGCAGAGTACGAGGAAGAAAGGAAAAAGAGAGCTACTGCTGCCGCTGCCCCGAGTTCTTCTTCCGGTGGCATTGGCGGTATTAGTGGTGATTACGAGACTCAGTTCTTCTAATCACACTGGTGGCGTATACGTTTACTTTCTGCAATTATTTTTTGATTTTCTTTTTCAAGAATTAGCTTATGGTTTCAGATATTTTGACTCGTGGAACTTTATTTGTGGACTAGCTTGAGAAATTGTAAATTTGTTTCTCCTTTTCTTGTTAATGTAAATAAGATTTACTTTGATAAAAAACTTGTTTCTTCTTTATCTCGAGCATCGTGTTCTTGGGGTTAGATAACATGGAAACTGAAACATTTGCACCTATGAAATTAATGATATCATTTTAAACATGATATGCTATGCTATTGAGGTATGCAATTTAACATGTGCATTTGGGTGCTTTAGGAGCTTTACTTATGTCATAAAATGCAGTTAATTTCTAGTTTCTTGTAATAATCTTTATTTGTTTAGTCTGGCAAACCGCAGCTATTAAAGGAGAGTTCACATTGATGGTTCGTTGCGTGCATAATAGATGTTATACCTTTAATTGAAACTGTAGATGCAGAACATTGATGTATTCTTTAGAAACCCTGACCGTAATGATCTCCCCAGTGTATTCAAGCTGAATCTTTGCTGAACGTCAGTCAATGCTGCTGCCTGTGCTACCTCCCAGTGTAATGCATGATACTTGGTCGGAGATTTGCGGAAGGGTGTATGATTTGCACAATCTCTTGTGTGCCTGGATTCAAGTTCTCATTAGCGTTTTGTTGTTTTAATGCATGAAAACGCATCTTGGCCACCGAGATTGTAAAGTGCCTATTTACTTATTTATTTGTGTGCAAAATTCATGACTTGAATTTTCTGCTCCTGTTGTGTGTTGCGTTTTCATCTTGAATCTTCGTATGGAGATGAGAGCAGATATTTATTTTAAGAAGTTCTTGAGTTCGAATTCCTGGTTCTTATGTATAATAATAATAAAAATCAACCGTAGCTTGAAGTGAAACTTGATGTAAAGATGCATCATGTTTTACTACAATTTTATGATGTTGTAATTTTGTGCATTTAGCTTGATAAATGCCCGTGCACTCTCAATGTTGATGCCCTAGCCGCCAACTGGGAAGCTTTCATTCTAGCTCCTGCCCATGAAAAGGGGTGAAGAAATAGATTTTAGACGAGAACTTGATGATGATCTTCTCTCCTCCTAATGAGATTTCGTGAGAATGGCCGCCCCTGGAACCGGAAAGCCGTAGCGTTCTCAATATTGGTTTGGTAGATTTCTGCTATTCCACTTCCACTTCCTGTGTGCTTTTTCAGTAAACGGTTGTTGTACGGTACATTGATTTTTAAATTACTACGACTACAAGTAAAAGCTTGTCCAAACCAAAAAATAAAAGAAAAAGAAAAGATTGAATATGTGTCTAAATGTCGATGGGTAAAACCGAGGTAGAATTGGGAGGTGGAACACAGGATCCTAATCTTTTATTTTTTTTTAAGTATATTATTTGGTTGGCAATTTAGCTACTAATTTAGCTAAAACCCTCAATAAGTCTCGCGCAGCGCAACAAAACGTCACTAGGCAACTGCTGGTGTGTAAGGTCCAAAAAAACAGCATCTCCTTCTCCTAAAAGCTGAAATTGAGAATCCCCAGAAGTCACCAAACACAACATCATCTCGCTAGTCGCCACTCAATGGCTTTCAGATTTCTTGTTTGAACCTCCGAGCGATGAGAAAATCGAGTACGGGCACGACGACAGCAAGGACGACTCAGGCGAAGAAGACGGAGAAGCGAAAAACGACGCCGTTAACGAGGAGGAAGACGAAATATCAATTTCTCCAGCTAAAAAGAATTAAAAAATCCAAGCACTCTCCTTGGGATTTCTCTTCCTACTCCCAGTCAGTTGCCGACGGGCATGCTCGCCGCTGTACCACTTGAGGACCACTCAATTGAGTTTCGATTGGCCGTGCCTGAAGGAGAAGGGTATATTGGGAATCCAGACGATTACGTAGGTACGGCGGGTTATGAAGCTTTGCAGCAAAACCTAGCCGAAATTGATAGCGATGGGCGGCGAGGAGCATCTCCCGCATGAAAAGCTTCTGTGGAAGCAGTAGAAACCACGGAGATTAAGTCAAAACTGGAGGCATTGGCTTGTGCTGTATGTAAAGATATAGTTGGTGTTGGAGAAATGGTAAACAAATTGCCTTGTGGACATGGATATCATGAGGATTGTCTCATACCATGGTTGGGGTCGAGAAATTCGTGCCTTGTATGTAGGTATGAGTTGCCGACAGATGATGCAGAGTACGAGGAAGAAAGGAAAAAGAGAGCTACTGCTGCCGCTGCCCCGAGTTCTTCTTCCGGTGGCATTGGCGGTATTAGTGGTGATTACGAGATTCAGTTCTTCTAATCACACTGGTGGCGTATACGTTTACTTTCTGCAATTATTTTTTGATTTTCTTTTTCAAGAATTAGCTTATGGTTTCAGATATTTTGACTCGTGGAACTTTATTTGTGGACTAGCTTGAGAAATTGTAAATTTGTTTCTTCTTTTCTTGTTAATGTAAATAAGATTTACTTTGATAAAAAACTTGTTTCTTCTTTATCTCGAGCATTGTGTTCTTGGGGTTAGATAACATGGAAACTGAAACATTTGCACTTATGAAATTAATGATATCATTTTAAACATGATATGCTATGCTATTGAGGTATGCAATTTAACATGTGCATTTGGGTGCTTTAGGAGCTTTACTTATGTCATAAAATGCAGTTAATTTCTAGTTTCTTGTAATAATCTTTATTTGTTCAGTCTGGCAAACAACAGCTATTAAAGGAGAGTTCACATCGATGGTTCTTTGCGTGCATAATAGATGTTATACCTTTAATTGAAACTGCAGATGCAGAACATTGATGTATTCTTTAGAAACCCTGACCGTAACGATCTCCCCAGTGTATTCAAGCTGAATCTTTGCTGAACGTCAGTCAATGCTGCTGCCTGTGCTAGCTCCCAGTGTAATGCATGATACTTGGTCGGAGATTTGCGGAAAGGCGTATGATTTGCACAATCTCTTGTGTGCTTGGATTCAAGTTCTCATTAGCGTTTTGTTGTTTTAATGCATGAAAACGCGTCTTGGCCACCGAGATTGTAAAGTGCCCATTTACTTATTTATTTGTGTGCAAAATTCATGACTTGCATTTTCTGCTCCTGTTGTGTGTTGCGTTTTCATCTTGAATCTTCGTATGGAGATGAGAGCAGATATTTATTTTAAGAAGTCCTTGAGTTCGAATTCCTGGTTCTTATGTATAATAATAATAAAAATCAACCGTAGCTTGAAGTGAAACTTGATGTAAAGATGCATCATGTTTTACTACAATTTTATGATGTTGTAATTTTGTGCATTTAGCTTGATGAATGCCCGTGCACTCTCAATGTTGATGCCCTAGCCGCCAACTGGGAAGCTTTCATTCTAGCTCCTGCCCATGAAAAGGGGTGAAGAAATAGATTTTAGACGAGAACTTGATGATGATCTTCTCTCCTCCTAATGAGATTTCGTGAGAATGGCCGCCCCTGGAACCGGAAAGCCGTAGCGTTCTCAATATTGGTTTGGTAGTTTTCTGTTATTCCACTTCCACTTCCTGTGTGCTTTTTCAGTAAACGGTTGTTGTACGGTACATTGATTTTTAAATTACTACGACTACAAGTAAAAGCTTGTCCAAACCAAAAAATAAAAGAAAAAGAAAAGATTGAATACGTGTCTAAATGTCGATGGGTAAAACCGAGGTAGAATTGGGAGCTGGAACACAGGATCCTAATCTTTTATTTTTTTTAAGTATATTATTTGGTTGGCAATTTAGCTACTAATTTAGTTAAAACCCTCAATAAGTCTCGCGCAGCGCAACAAAACGTCACTAGGCAACTGCTGGTGTGTAAGGTCCAAAAAAACAGCAGCTCCTTCTCCTAAAAGCTGAAATTGAGAATCCCCAGAAGTCACCAAACACAACATCATCTCGCTAGTCGCCACTCAATGGCTTTCAGATTTCTTGTTTGAACCTCTGAGCGATGAGGAAATCGAGTACGGGCACGACGACAGTAAGGACGACTCAGGCGAAGAAGACGGAGAAACGGAAAACGACGCCCTTAACGAGGAGGAAGACGAAATATCAATTTCTCCAGCTAAAAAGAATTAAAAATCCAAGCACTCTCCTTGGGATTTCTCTTCCTACTCCCAGTCAGTTGCCGACGGGCATGCTCGCCGCTGCAGCACTTGAGGACCACTGAATTGAGTTTCGATTGGCCGTGCCTGAAGGAGAAGGGTATATTGGGAATCCAGACGATTACGTAGGTACGGCGGGTTATGAAGCTTTGCAGCAAAACCTAGCCGAAACTGATAGCGATGGGCGGCGAGGAGCATCTCCCGCATCAAAAGCTTCTGTAGAAGCAGTAGAAACCACGGAGATTAAGTCAAAACTGGAGGCATTGGCTTGTGCTGTATGTAAAGATATAGTTGGTGTTGGAGAAATGGTAAAGAAATTGCCTTGTGGACATGGATATCATGAGGATTGTATCATACCATGGTTGGGGTCGAGAAATTCGTGCCTTGTATGTAGGTATGAGTTGCCGACAGATGATGCAGAGTACGAGGAAGAAAGGAAAAAGAGAGCTACTGCTGCCGCTGCCCCGAGTTCTTCTTCTGGTGGCATTGGCGGTATTAGTGGTGATTACGAGATTCAGTTCTTCTAATCACTCTGGTGGCGTATACGTTTACTTTCTGCAATTATTTTTTGATTTTCTTTTTCAAGAATTAGCTTATGGTTTCAGATATTTTGACTCGTGGAACTTTATTTGTGGACTAGCTTGAGAAATTGTAAATTTGTTTCTTCTTTTCTTGTTAATGTAAATAAGATTTACTTTGATAAAAAACTTGTTTCTTCTTTATCTCAAGCATCGTGTTCTTGGGGTTAGATAACATGGAAACTGAAACATTTGCACCTATGAAATTAATGATATCATTTTAAACATGATATGCTATGCTATTGAGGTATGCAATTTAACATGTGCATTTGGGTGCTTTAGGAGCTTTACTTATGTCATAAAATGCAGTTAATTTCTAGTTTCTTGTAATAATCTTTATTTGTTCAGTCTGGCAAACCACAGCTATTAAAGGAGAGTTCACATCGATGGTTCTTTGCGTGCATAATAGATGTTATACCTTTAATTGAAACTGCAGATGCAGAACATTGATGTATTCTTTAGAAACCCTGACCGTAACGATCTCCCCAGTGTATTCAAGCTGAATCTTTGCTGAACGTCAGTCAATGCTGCTGCCTGTGCTAGCTCCCAGTGTAATGCATGATACTTGGTCGGAGATTTGCGGAAAGGCGTATGATTTGCACAATCTCTTGTGTGCTTGGATTCAAGTTCTCATTAGCGTTTTGTTGTTTTAATGCATGAAAACGCGTCTTGGCCACCGAGATTGTAAAGTGCCTATTTACTTATTTATTTGTGTGCAAAATTCATGACTTGCATTTTCTGCTCCTGTTGTGTGTTGCGTTTTCATCTTGAATCTTCGTATGGAGATGAGAGCAGATATTTATTTTAAGAAGTCCTTGAGTTCGAATTCCTGGTTCTTATGTATAATAATAATAAAAATCAACCGTAGCTTGAAGTGAAACTTGATGTAAAGATGCATCATGTTTTACTACAATTTTATGATGTTGTAATTTTGTGCATTTAGCTTGATGAATGCCCGTGCACTCTCAATGTTGATGCCCTAGCCGCCAACTGGGAAGCTTTCATTCTAGCTCCTGCCCATGAAAAGGGGTGAAGAAATAGATTTTAGACGAGAACTTGATGATGATCTTCTCTCCTCCTAATGAGATTTCGTGAGAATGGCCGCCCCTGGAACCGGAAAGCCGTAGCGTTCTCAATATTGGTTTGGTAGATTTCTGCTATTCCACTTCCACTTCCTGTGTGCTTTTTCAGTAAACGGTTGTTGTACGGTACATTGATTTTTAAATTACTACGACTACAAGTAAAAGCTTGTCCAAACCAAAAAATAAAAGAAAAAGAAAAGATTGAATACGTGTCTAAATGTCGATGGGTAAAACCGAGGTAGAATTGGGAGCTGGAACACAGGATCCAAATCTTTTATTTTTTTTAAGTATATTATTTGGTTGGCAATTTAGCTACTAATTTAGCTAAAACCTTCAATAAGTCTCGCGCAGCGCAACAAAACGTCACTAGGCAACTGCTGGTGTGTAAGGTCCAAAAAAATAGCAGCTCCTTCTCCTAAAAGCTGAAATTGAGAATCCCCAGAAGTCACCAAACACAACATCATCTCGCTAGTCGCCACTCAATGGCTTTCAGATTTCTTGTTTGAACCTCCGAGCGATGAGGAAATCGAGTACGGGCACGACGACAGTAAGGACGACTCAGGCGAAGAAGACGGAGAAGCGGAAAACGACGCCGTTAACGAGGAGGAAGACGAAATATCAATTTCTCCAGCTAAAAAGAATTAAAAATCCAAGCACTCTCCTTGGGATTTCTCTTCCTACTCCCAGTCAGTTGCCGACGGGCATGCTCGCCGCTGCACCACTTGAGGACCACTCAATTGAGTTTCGATTGGCCGTGCCTGAAAGAGAAGGGTATATTGGGAATCCAGACGATTACGTAGGTACGGCGGGTTATGAAGCTTTGCAGCAAAACCTAGCCGAAATTGATAGCGATGGGCGGCGAGGAGCATCTCCCGCATCAAAAGCTTCTGTAGAAGCAGTAGAAACCACGGAGATTAAGTCAAAACTGGAGGCATTGGCTTGTGCTGTATGTAAAGATATAGTTGGTGTTGGAGAAATGGTAAAGAAATTGCCTTGTGGACATGGATATCATGAGGATTGTATCATACCATGGTTGGGGTCGAGAAATTCGTGACTTGTATGTAGGTATGAGTTGCCGACAGATGATGCAGAGTACGAGGAAGAAAGGAAAAAGAGAGCTACTGCTGCCGCTGCCCCGAGTTCTTCTTCTGGTGGCATTGGCGGTATTAGTGGTGATTACGAGATTCAGTTCTTCTAATCACTCTGGTGGCGTATACGTTTACTTTCTGCAATTATTTTTTGATTTTCTTTTTCAAGAATTAGCTTATGGTTTCAGATATTTTGACTCGTGGAACTTTATTTGTGGACTAGCTTGAGAAATTGTAAATTTGTTTCTTCTTTTCTTGTTAATGTAAATAAGATTTACTTTGATAAAAAACTTGTTTCTTCTTTATCTCAAGCATCGTGTTCTTGGGGTTAGATAACATGGAAACTGAAACATTTGCACCTATGAAATTAATGATATCATTTTAAACATGATATGCTATGCTATTGAGGTATGCAATTTAACATGTGCATTTGGGTGCTTTAGGAGCTTTACTTATGTCATAAAATGCAGTTAATTTCTAGTTTCTTGTAATAATCTTTATTTGTTCAGTCTGGCAAACCACAGCTATTAAAGGAGAGTTCACATCGATGGTTCTTTGCGTGCATAATAGATGTTATACCTTTAATTGAAACTGCAGATGCAGAACATTGATGTATTCTTTAGAAACCCTGACCGTAACGATCTCCCCAGTGTATTCAAGCTGAATCTTTGCTGAACGTCAGTCAATGCTGCTGCCTGTGCTAGCTCCCAGTGTAATGCATGATACTTGGTCGGAGATTTGCGGAAAGGCGTATGATTTGCACAATCTCTTGTGTGCTTGGATTCAAGTTCTCATTAGCGTTTTGTTGTTTTAATGCATGAAAACGCGTCTTGGCCACCGAGATTGTAAAGTGCCTATTTACTTATTTATTTGTGTGCAAAATTCATGACTTGCATTTTCTGCTCCTGTTGTGTGTTGCGTTTTCATCTTGAATCTTCGTATGGAGATGAGAGCAGATATTTATTTTAAGAAGTCCTTGAGTTCGAATTCCTGGTTCTTATGTATAATAATAATAAAAATCAACCGTAGCTTGAAGTGAAACTTGATGTAAAGATGCATCATGTTTTACTACAATTTTATGATGTTGTAATTTTGTGCATTTAGCTTGATGAATGCCCGTGCACTCTCAATGTTGATGCCCTAGCCGCCAACTGGAAAGCTTTCATTCTAGCTCCTGCCCATGAAAAGGGGTGAAGAAATAGATTTTAGACGAGAACTTGATGATGATCTTCTCTCCTCCTAATGAGATTTCGTGAGAATGGCCGCCCCTGGAACCGGAAAGCCGTAGCGTTCTCAATATTGGTTTGGTAGATTTCTGCTATTCCACTTCCACTTCCTGTGTGCTTTTTCAGTAAACGGTTGTTGTATGGTACATTGATTTTTAAATTACTACGACTACAAGTAAAAGCTTGTCCAAACCAAAAAATAAAAGAAAAAGAAAAGATTGAATACGTGTCTAAATGTCGATGGGTAAAATCGAGGTAGAATTGGGAGGTGGAACACAGGATCCTAATCTTTTATTTTTTTTAAGTATATTATTTGGTTGGCAATTTAGCTACTAATTTAGCTAAAACCCTCAATAAGTCTCGCGCAGCGCCACAAAACGTCACTAGGCAACTGCTGGTGTGTAAGGTCCAAAAAAACAGCAGCTCCTTCTCCTAAAAGCTGAAATTGAGAATCCCCAGAAGTCACCAAACACAACATCATCTCGCTAGTCGCCACTCAATGGCTTTCAGATTTCTTGTTTGAACCTCCGAGCGATGAGGAAATCGAGTACGGGCACGACGACAGTAAGGACGACTCAGGCGAAGAAGACGGAGAAGCGGAAAACGACGCCGTTAACGAGGAGGAAGACGAAATATCAATTTCTCCAGCTAAAAAGAATTAAAAAATCCAAGCACTCTCCTTGGGATTTCTCTTCCTACTCCCAGTCAGTTGCCGACGGGCATGCTCGCCGCTGCACCACTTGAGGACCACTCAATTGAGTTTCGATTGGCCGTGCCTGAAGGAGAAGGGTATATTGGGAATCCAGACGATTACGTAGGTACGGCAGGTTATGAAGCTTTGCAGCAAAACCTAGCCGAAACTGATAGCGATGGGCGGCGAGGAGCATCTCCCACATCAAAAGCTTCTGTAGAAGCAGTAGAAACCACGGAGATTAAGTCAAAACTGGAGGCATTGGCTTGTGCTGTATGTAAAGATATAGTTGGTGTTGGAGAAATGGTAAAGAAATTGCCTTGTGGACATGGATATCATGAGGATTGTATCATACCATGGTTGGGGTCGAGAAATTCGTGCCTTGTATGTAGGTATGAGTTGCCGACAGATGATGCAGAGTACGAGGAAGAAAGGAAAAAGAGAGCTACTGCTGCCGCTGCCCCGAGTTCTTCTTCCGGTGGCATTGGCGGTATTAGTGGTGATTACGAGATTCAGTTCTTCTAATCACACTGGTGGCGTATACGTTTACTTTCTGCAATTATTTTTTGATTTTCTTTTTCAAGAATTAGCTTATGGTTTCAGATATTTTGACTCGTGGAACTTTATTTGTGGACTAGCTTGAGAAATTGTAAATTTGTTTCTTCTTTTCTTGTTAATGTAAATAAGATTTACTTTGATAAAAAACTTGTTTCTTCTTTATCTCGAGCATCGTGTTCTTGGGGTTAGATAACATGGAAACTAAAACATTTGCACCTATGAAATTAATGATATCATTTTAAACATGATATGCTATGCTATTGAGGTATGCAATTTAACATGTGCATTTGGGTGCTTTAGGAGCTTTACTTATGTCATAAAATGCAGTTAATTTCTAGTTTCTTGTAATAATCTTTATTTGTTCAGTCTGGCAAACCACAGCTATTGAAGGAGAGTTCACATCGATGGTTCTTTGCGTGCATAATAGATGTTATACCTTTAATTGAAACTGCAGATGCAGAACATTGATGTATTCTTTAGAAACCCTGACCGTAACGATCTCCCCAGTGTATTCAAGTTGAATCTTTGCTGAACGTCAGTCAATGCTGCTGCCTGTGCTAGCTCCCAGTGTAATGCATGATACTTGGTCGGAGATTTGCGGAAAGGCGTATGATTTGCACAATCTCTTGTGTGCTTGGATTCAAGTTCTCATTAGCGTTTTGTTGTTTTAATGCATGAAAACGCGTCTTGGCCACCGAGATTGTAAAGTGCCTATTTACTTATTTATTTGTGTGGAAAATTCATGACTTGCATTTTCTGCTCCTGTTGTGTGTTGCGTTTTCATCTTGAATCTTCGTATGGAGATGAGAGCAGATATTTATTTTAAGAAGTTCTTGAGTTCGAATTCTTGGTTCTTATGTATAATAATAATAAAAATCAACCGTAGCTTGAAGTGAAACTTGATGTAAAGATGCATCATGTTTTACTACAATTTTAGGATGTTGTAATTTTGTGCATTTAGCTTGATGAATGCCCGTGCACTCTCAATGCTGAATCCCTAGCCGCCAACTGGGAAGCTTTCATTCTGGCCCCCGCCCATGAAAAGGCGTGAAGAAACAGATTTCAGACGAGAACTTGATGATGATCTTCTCTCCTCCTAATGAGATTTCGTGAGAATGGCTGCCCCTAGAACCAGAAAGCCGTAGCGTTCTCAATATTGGTTTGGTAGATTTCTGCTATTTCACTTCCACTTCCAACGTGCTTTTTCAGTAAACGATTGTTGTACGGTACATTGATTTTTAAAATTACTACGACTACAAGTAAAAGCTTGTCCAAACCAAAAAAAAAAAAAGATTGAATACGTGGCTAAATGTCAATGGGTAAAATCGAGGTAGAATTGGGAGGTGGAACACAGGATCCTAATCTTTTAGTTTTTTTAAGTATATTATTTGGTTGGCAATTTAGCCACTAATTTAGCTAAAACCCTCAATAAGTCTCCCGCCGCACAACAAAACGTCATTAGGCAACTGCTGGTGTGTAAGGTCCAAAAAGCAGCAGCTCCTCCTCCTCCTCCTCCTGAAAGCTGAAATTGAGAATCCCCATAAGTCACCAAACACAACATCATCTCGCTAGTCGCCACTCAATGGCTTCAGATTTCTTGTTTGAACCCCCGAGCGATGAGGAAATCGAGTACGAGCACAACGACAGTAAGGACGACTCAGGCGAAGAAGACGGAGAAGCGGAAAACGACGCCGTTAATGAGGAGGAAGATGAAATATCAAATTTTCCAGCTAAAAAGAATAAAAAATCCAAGCACTCTCCCTAGAATTTCTTCCTACTCCCAGTCAGTTGCCGACGAGCATGCCCACCGCTGCACCACTTCCATTGACTTCAAAATCTCCCCAGACTTCCTCCAACAACGATCCGCCCCTGCCTCCTCCCCGCCTATCCCCACTTCCGACCACGACCATGACCACGACTCCGATTCCTAACCTGACCGTCAAGTTAGTTGCTCTCAACCTCCCCTTAATTTCTCATTTCATTTTTTCTTTTCTCCTTTTTCTTTTGGGTGGAATTGCCTTTTCGATAAACCTACCTAGGCAGTAATTCTTCCTTTTCTTGTTCCTTCTTTTGAATGAGGCTAGTGGAATCTAATTCATTCCGGCTAATGCTCACCCCTACTTCAGTATTTAATCCCAGAAGTTACGCAATCCACCTTCACTTTTCTACTGATTGAATTGTCAATTTGTGTCATGTTATCAAGTTCATACATACACTATGATCTTGACACTTCTCTTATGGTATTAGCTTGTAAACGTGATAAAAATACTTTTCTTTCTTTTTTTTTGCTTTGTTTCTTGGGTTAAAACTGTAATATGTACTCCAAATAGTAACTAGTATGATTGAAAGGAAGCTAGAAAGTAATACTTTTTTGTTAGTTTGTAACTGTCCCTATACCTAGGCATTTAAGTTGTTAAAAAACCTAAACTTGGGGGTATTTGTATTATTTTGGCTAATATAAAGTAAGAGAAGAGTGCCTAAAGCTAATGCTGGAGTGTCAAGATCATTAGCCTCTTTTTTTTCAAATAATAATAATTTTTATGGGTTTAAAATTTAGGAGGACTATGGGGAGGAAGATGATGATGATATGGCTAATAGTAATGCTGTCAGCGATAAAAAACCATTCTTTGGGTCGGCGGAGGAAGTTTCCTACCACGCAAATTCATTTCTGGAGCTATATCTTTCGAGGCCCTTACTTCGAGCTTGTGAAGCATTGGGCTATACCAAGCCCACACCAATTCAGGTTTCTGTTTCTTTTCCATTTTTTGCTTTTGGTTTTTTAAATGTGCCTTTAATTTGATGGATATATGATAAAGTCACGCATCCAGTAGTCTTATGTTTTTGTGAGATGATAAATATTTGAGGATCTTTTGTTGTAGGCTGCATGTATTCCGTTGGCATTAGCGGGCCGTGATATATGTGGAAGTGCAATAACAGGTTCAGGGAAGGTATATAATATAGATGGAGATATTTATGGGCTTTTATTTCCTTATTTCTTTTAACCGATGTATGCTGGTTTTTTGCCATTATGATTGGAAGAAAAAGAGAGAACTTTTTTTTTTAAAGTTGGAAGTGCAATAACAGGTCCATGGAAGTTATATACAAATGGAGATGTTTCATGGGGTTTATTTGCTTATTGTTTCTTTTAACTGATGTATGCTGTATTTATGCCATTATGCTTGAAGAAATAAGAAAGGGATTAAAAAATTGTAGTAATAAGAAAGAGATATTAAAAAAAATTAATTGCAGTTATTGGTATGTTTTCTTGTTTGACTTTGCTCATGCAGACGGCTGCCTTTGCCTTGCCAACACTGGAAAGGTTACATTTCCGTCCAAAGAATCGCCCTGCCACTAGAGTTCTAATTCTGACGCCAACAAGGGAGTTAGCTGTGCAGTAAGTTTTGAGATTAGGCTGTCAGTCGATTCACTTGATTTGTCATATAAAATTAAAATAGTTTTATTCCATTTCCTCAATCATTCCCCATGATCTTAATTGTGTCTTTTCTTCTCCTCAATAAAACTCTTTCTTTCTTTTCAAAGTCAACCGAAATATGTTAATGATGATAAAAGTGGTGCACTGACTTCTCTGCTCAGGTTTATGTTTGAATTATATTTAATTGATTGGCTAATTTTTATTCAACCATTTGAATCAGGGTCCACAGCATGATAGAAAAGCTTGCTCAATTCATGATAGATATTAGATGTTGTCTGGTGGTTGGTGGGCTTTCATTGAAGGTTTGTTGTTTATCATGCTTGCTTTGCAAGAGAACTATGCCATCTCATCTTATGCTTTTTTATCATTCATTTTCACTGTGCTGCATCTTTTAAATGTAGTTGTATTGACTGCCAGATAAACGCTCTTTAGTTTGTTTTCAGTTCTTCCATATCTTTTGGATTGTATGATGCTAGTCAATGCCTTCTTTACTTCCTTTTCCCCCCACTGCCTTTGCTTCTAGAATTAGAGTGGATTTTGAGCTGAATTTGGTTCTACATATGAGTAAGCTTAAAACATTGTCAAGCTTCACATTAGTTTGGAGTTAGATGGAAAGGTGGCATGCTACTAGTGAATAGGAGTTAGGCATTTGTATCACATAATAGGTAATAGTTGGAACTGGGTTGCATTTGTTTGCAAATACGAATTGGGTAGAGTATGCAGAACTTCCTCCCTTCTGCCCCTAAATGCTGAAAAGGAAAAGTAGAAGAAACAATTGCCTAGGGTTGAAGTTAATTTTCTTCTGTAGGGACTGGTGGTACATATTTGGGAATTTTGTTAGTCTCAGTTTCTATTTAAAAAATGCATGGAGGTACCAGATCATGGCAGTTCCTCATGTGATTGCATTATCTAACTATTAGTGTTTTTTCAAGGACTTTACTTTGACACTACTGATGGTTTATCATATCTTGTCTACTCATAGCATTTGGTTGTCTACCAAAGAAAGTTTGCTAACCTTGAGCAATTTTCAGACGCAAGAGGCAGCTTTGAGGTCCAAGCCGGATATAGTAGTTGCTACTCCAGGACGTATGATAGATCATCTCCGCAATTCTCTGTCCATAGATTTGGATGAGCTTGCTGTTTTGATCCTTGATGAAGCGGATCGTCTCCTGGAGTTAGGATTCAGTGCTGAAATTCGTGAGCTGGTATGTTTGATGACTGTGTCTTTTTCCTTGTATGGAGAATGGGCATTTTTAGGAAGTTTTGCAATGAGAATCCATTTGACTTCAACTCCTCTAATATTTTTCTTTTCTTTCAATCGTTTTTAATAATCCCTTCTGTGGTTGTTTTTGTACTTTGGGTGTGCTTTCTTTAAGTGATTATTGGAGGGCTTGTCTCAGGTAAGACTGTGTCCTAAACGTAGACAGACCATGCTATTTTCAGCTACCATGACAGAGGAAGTTGATGAGCTTATCAAGCTATCCTTGAACAAACCTCTGCGACTTTCAGCCGATCCATCCACAAAAAGGCCAGCAACTTTAACTGAAGAGTAAGTCATCCCAGAGATGCTTTGGCACTTAGCAGCTTATGCTGATGGCAAAGGGTTCTCAGAGCCTTGTATTTTTATTATGTACTACATCGCTATTCATTTTCTTCACCATGTCAACTGGTTTTCTTTGGACATTGCGAATTTATTATCCTGTTCTGCATTTATGTAGGGTGGTTAGGATACGCCGGATGCGTGAAAGGAATCAGGAGGCAGTACTTCTTGCTCTGTGCTCTAGGGCATTCACATCTAAAGTCATTATTTTCAGGTTTCCGCAGATAAAGTGATACGAGTTCATTCGTTAAATTTTTGTTCGACTCCTGATGTATAAATATGGTTGATAAATAGGTTATTCGAGTGTATGTTTTATGTTTACATCATCCATGTTATGAGTTCAGATAATTGAGAACCTTTCAGGTCTTAACACTAGTTAGTGTTGATTTAAGTCTACATTTTCTCAGAAATTTCATTTTCATGTGGCAGTGGGACAAAGCAGGCTGCCCATCGGTTGAAAATTTTGTTTGGGTTGGCTGGCTTAAAAGCTGCTGAGCTTCATGGAAATCTGACCCAGGCTCAACGCCTAGACGTGAGACTTTGCATCCTGTATCCTGCTTTAAAAATTAAAGTAGGTTACTTTGTAACTGTTCAGCTAGCATATTCTCATTGGTACTTTTTTTGTAGGCTTTGGAACTTTTTCGAAAGCAGCAAGTGGATTTTCTGATTGCAACTGATGTTGCTGCTCGAGTAAGATAATTAGTCCATCTTTTGTAGGGTTTTATTTTAGCATTGCTTTCAATTCTTTATTCTGTCTATATTGTACAGTCTGAAAACTCGACAGCGCAGTTAAAACACAAATTTAAAATATCACGTGCTTATGGCCTAACTTCTTTTCTTTTTTTAGGGACTTGACATTATTGGAGTCCAAACAGTTGTCAATTTTGCATGTCCTCGCGATCTTACAAGGTTTGTAATATTGGTCCCCCCAAAAAATTGCTTGGAATTACATGATTTCAGTTGTTTTGCTCTTCTTGATTCCGTATTTGTATGCAGCCATATGCAGTTTCTTCTATGCATATGTTGTTCTTTGGAGCCTTCCCTAGTCTCTGAGAATTGAATTTCTTTGGATTGATTGTATCTTTGAATTCTGTCTATTCTGTTAATTTTTTCTTCTTAATTTTATTTCCAGTTATGTTCATCGAGTCGATCGAACAGCTAGAGCTGGTAGGGAAGGGTATGCTGTTACTTTTGTGACTGACAATGATCGGTCTCTTCTGAAAGCCATTGTAAGAGCCTCATCTTCTTTTTGCAGAGTTGCAATTGTAGAATGCTTTGCATTTTGTGCATGTTTGTGATTTTTATGCTTCAATGAGAAGGTGTTCTAGTGATTGGTAATTGTATTTTAACTTAATATGATATTGCTATGCTCCATTACATCTAGTGACGGGGGAAATTTCTATGATTGAAACTCAATATTGCACCACAAGTCAGAACCATTTTGGATTTTGGTCATGCCCACAAGCCACACTTTTCTAAAGGCAAAAAGGTAAAAATGGTTTTGAGATCTTGCCTGCAAGTAGCTGGTTTTGGCTGTGATTCTTTTGTCTGCAATGTGATACCATCTCGGACTGCAACATACCTGCTGATACCTCTCAAGCTTCTAGCCACTAATTTGAGTAATTTCATGGTTCTTAAGATTTTTATAACTCTATATTAACGTTAAGCCTTTCCCCCTAGATTGATACCCTACTGCATTTTTGAATGAGAAATATGCCAATCAATCAGTGTTGGTCCTTGTAAATGAATCACTACATAAGAAGTTCATTTCAGATGATTTTGGTGATGCAACAGTGTCGCGCCCCATTTTTTATAAGGAAAATAAATAAATAAATGGTTTAAAAAGTGAATTTTTTGATTTGAAAAATGAATTTTGATTTACAAAGAAAATGAAGAAAAATATAGGTCTAAATGGGACTTGAAAATGCGACGATTTGACCCAAGATATAGTTTAAAAAGGGTTTTTTGAATGAAAAATGGAGTCGCCACTTGGTATAGAGTTAAGGTGTACCAAGTCACCTAAAAAAATGAATTTTTTTAAAGGAAAAGATAGAAAGAAACCCCTTTTAAACGACTCCTAGTCTACGTAAACCAACAAAAAAGGTTCGGGAGTCACATTTGACGAAGGGAAAGGCAAGGATAAAAATCCAAAACACCCCTTCGACCTAACCAAGGCTAGTTACGTGATTTAGTCAAAGATTTTCTTGTTTTAACCAAAGAATTTATCACATGTGGATGTACTATATAAATGCAAACCCTAGACCTAGGGGGACATCGGGGGGCAAAATTTCTCTTCAAAACTTGAATGGTGCCAATCACATTAATTGTGATGCCCAATAATGACTCTTTGGAGAGGTCACGAATAATGCAAAAATATGAGACTCTAAGAAGAGGAAAAGGATAAAATAATTTATAGAAATGTACATGTCTTAAAGGAATGCATCATGTCGGGTACGGGGGACTAATGTTCGTGACTCAATTTTCCCTTTAATAGAGGAAATACGAGCGTGCTAAGGCTAGAAAAGCCAAACTCGTCCATATCCCATATCCAAGGGGTTATCCCTAATCTAATCAAACAAAATGATTTAACCTAATTCTAATGCTAAAATGAAATGCGATTCTAATGTTATGTATCACACATAGGGGTATATATATATAGGAAAATTAGGGATAAGGGCTATACGTATAAGGAGGGATGTCATGCAACATGGTGAAAGAAGCCCTAAAAGTAAATATATGCATGAGATGAAGTGATCACACAATCATGATCTAATGCCCTTCCTAAGGGCTAGCGTTGGACTAGCCCACATCTACGCTCTCTCACAAGCATTGGACTTGCAAAAGCTCGAGGGTAAGACCATGACTAGTGTTGGACTAACCACGGTTTCGTGCATTTGCATCCATCATACATATATAAGTAAATGTGCATAATTAAAGCGAGTAGGCATGTGAGCACGTAATTCATATAACACATAACACATAAGCATGCATATCTAGATGCCAAACCCTAAGAACGCAATTAAACACATAGCACATACGCATGCAAATCACACAAAAACAAAACAAAGAAAACCTAACTATTACATTAGGAGGGGGAAGCCTACTACAATCTAAAAGGGGAAACGGGATAAAATAAATAAAATAATAACCTAGCTATTACAACTTTGGCATTCAAGTGCCTTTCAAATGATTGAAATTGAAAATAACTATACAAAACTAAAACAAATAAAGTGGATAAATAAATGGATAAATAAAACGAAAACATTTAAAAGGCATGCTATTAAGCTCATAAGTCACATAATGAACGTAGGGTCAAATAAAGTGAAAATAGGGGATAGAGTGTACCTCCCTTGAGTTGGAGCCCTAAATGGAGTGAAATCACTATTTATCCTCCAAAATAAAAGAAAAGGTCAAGGTACCAATTTATTTGGGAAAATTAAAGAAAATAGGCAAACACAAGCTCACTTGGACACAAAGTTCTTAAATTCATGCATTAAGTGCAATCTAAACAAAGCATGGTAATTAATTGAAGCAAACAAGCAATTGAGTTGAAAAAAATGAAGCTGCCAAGGACCAAATTGAGGACATTATTCAATTGATTGGGTCATAGCAGCATTAGTTAGAAGCCAAGGGGTCAAAGTGAAATTATTGAAAGATTTTCATGCAAAATCCATGCAAAAGCTACGGAGCAAGCTTCTGCTTATAACAAAATAGTTTTCAGCATGCCAAAGGTGATCCTTTACAATTTCCAGCCATGGCTTCATCCATTATCCTTCAACAAACCAGACTTTTGAGCTAACTCTAATTGAAATATGTATAAAACACTTCTTGACAAAGCAATCCTTAAAAGAATTTCATGCAAGTTTCATGCAACATATGAGCATAAGATTTCGGCAACAAGACTTGCTGCATTTTCTTTCAAACTCAGATTTTTAATCACAACTTTGATTAGATGTTTTTCAACCCAACATCACAATTTAGACTAAGCAACCAACTACATAATCACCACCATCCAGACAGGTAGAAACTTTAGAAAAGATCTCATACAAAATTCTGGAAGAACATGTAAACACTTGAAGAACAAAAGCTGCCGCAACTTTCTCCATTTCTTATCAATACAGACACGCGGACCGAATATCAGAATTTTTGGCTTGGGTCAAAAACAAACGTTGGAAGTCTCACTCATAAATTAAACCAAATACTATATTTGGTTGCAGGATTAAAGCAGTAAATCTGTCAAAGGATCATGCACAAGGAAAATCAAAGCTGGGAATTTTCTACACTTTTCATTGCTACCCTCTGCAAGCTGCGGTGCTTCGTTACCAACCGAAATATTACCAACAAAACATCAATTTGGAATCAGCAAAACACAAGATACAAACACCCCAGTTATCAGGCAAACCAACTACTCCACCTTTATTGCAGAATCAAGGCAGAAAAACCAGAATGATAGCTGTCGGGGATACCAGAAATTAAAGCAAAAGAAAGAAACAAAAGTGCAGCAAGCAATCTGTAACTTTACAACTTATTAGCAACCCAAAGAGCTTTACATTAGACTCCAGAAAACCATGATAAAACACTTGGATTGAACAAGCAAACAAATAACCCATTCAAAACTCATTCTGAGTTACATTCGTTCCAGTTCTCCTCCCGCAATTTTGGTTATTTCTTCCGTCACTTCATCATTCAGCTAGGATGTCTACGTGAAATAAGTCGAACCAAACCTACTGATTCCCTTAAGCAAAACCAAATGCTATAACCTCAAACCCACATTGTTAACATTACTCAAACACAATCATCTATTCCCTTGATGATCCAACCAAAACAGCGGGACACACCAATGTAGCAAAGAAGCTATAAGCTTGCTGTAAACATAGTTCATGCATTTCGAAACAACTTCGACGCAATTTTGGTAAGGATTTTTCCATGCAAATTTCGCAGGCGTGGTTCTATTGTTCTTGCACCAGAAATCAAAAACACCAGGAAGGAAACAAAACCTCGGATTTTAATTAAAATTCCAATATTTGAACAAATGCGGCCAGATTCACAAATGAAACAGTGCAGACCATTTTCTAACATTTCGAAGGGACAGACCCTGTAAACGTCCTCCCTTTCCAAAACTAACATCTTGATACTAAAACTGCAACCTACGAACAAACCAAATGGACCTCAAACTCTACAACACTGAACATGCAAGGTAACAGCAAAAGGCGACAGCTTTAATGTTTTAGACAAACACAAGGCAACATGGACTAACAGATTTAAGTTTATAAAGTTCCAATCACGCACATACATGTTTGGAAAGCTTAAGGAATTAGCATCTGAAGAAACCCAGGGTTTAAAGGAGAGAATGGCTTACAGTGGCCTCTCTTTTGTTGAAGATCCGGATTGAAAATGGCGTGGTGAACGATGACCGCTTCTCAGGAGGTCAGCAGCTGCAGTAATTTCTGGGCTCACCGAGGAAACAACACCGGATTTCGTCTTCCTCCTTTGCTCTTTTGCTTTCTCCTTCGCTTTCTTCTTTTTCCTCCCAACCAAAAACCAGCCGCTCTTTCTTCTAACTCCCTCGGTCTCTCTCTTTCTTACTCCCTTGTTTTCCTCTACTCCCCTCTCTGGTTTTTTTTTAGCCGTCACTTCTTCCTTAAACCCCAGCCGTCATCCCCTCTCCCTCGGTTTCTGGTTCCTTCCGCTCTTTCTCTTAGCCCAGCCGCCTCACTCTTATTTTTTCCCCCTTACGGAAACTTTCTCCTAATACCCTAGCCGTTATTTGATCTCCGCCTCCTTTCGGCTGTGTTTTCTCTTTCTTTTATATCGAACCAATGTTGCTAAACCCTACCTTCAAGGGTGCCGATGAAACCCCTGTTTTGCTGGCAGGTTTTCTTGGCCATTTGATCACTCTTCATTCCAGATGAGAGCCAGGTAGGATAAAATCAAGGCAATCCAAGGGTAATGGGCTAAGCTGTATTTTTACTTCTGCAATTTTCCCGTGCATTTTTCTGCCTAACTTGTAATATGAAGAAAGGGCTAGGATCCTATGCTTCTCATGGTTCGTGATCTTGTTTCTCTTTTTTTTTAACACATAATGAAATAATTTTAACAAAATAAATAAAATGCTAAAAGATTGAATTTAAAAGAAATAAACATATTTTTGTGAACAATTTTATTTTTTACAAATTTTATGCTAAAAGTCTTATAATAAAAATAAACAGCTAAAAGGGCAAAAATGACTACAAAATAAAACTAAAATAAAATAATAGATAATAATAATCTAAAATGCTATAGAAGTGCTAAAAGTCTAAAACCAAAATCATGAAATTAACAAATAAAAATAGATAAGAATTATTACTAAAACAAAAAACAAAAAAAAAATAGAATGAAAATTATTCAAAAATTTGGTGTCTACAGTTTGCCCCTCTTTGTCTGA